TTTTTTTGGAAATTGATGTCAAATTATGTTAATAAAGAGGATTCATGGTATACTTCAAGGATTCCAAATTTACAGACTTTTAAACATTATAGTAATTATTTGCTTTTATGATTGAAAACATTGGAACTGCACACTGCTTTATATTACATTAGTGGCACACACCATCACTTACATTAGATGGAGCTGCTTAAAGAGATTTTGGTCATGTGCTGACTCTTAATAGATTTTTTTTGTTGGAGAAAAGGTCTCATTCTGTAACCACACTGGCCTTAAACTCACAGCAGTGTACCTATATCAGCCAGAGTATGCTAGGATTATAAGTGGGAACCACCATGTCCGGCTTTGACTTCTTGACTTAGAAATTAGAGGTTGCTATGAGGGGAGAAGGGACTCTGGGGGTTCCTTACATTTACTGCTGTCTGTTGGCAACCAACAGATACTAAGAGGGGGGTAGGCATAGTATCCAGTTGTATACCCACTGGTGAACCCATCAGGCTCAGATGGTTCCAAACGCAGGGTTACACAGATGCCCCTAGTAAAATTTCATAGGCCATTAAACAAAACCCAGTGAATATAGAAAAGAGATTCGTACAGAAGAAGGGGAGCTGACAGGGGTAGGAGTGAAATAAGTGATTGTCAGAGTGTATTATACACATGTGTGAAATTATCAAGGGAAAAAGATACCAATTATCTGTTGGAATATTATAAGAAAGATATAGATAGATTAGAAGCCAGTTTTGGCTTGGAGATATTTGAAAGAGGAAATCTGTTTTGCAGAGAGTAAGAGCAAAATTTTCATTCAATCTGTACTGAAAAATGAGAAATTCTTGTATTTCTGAAATTATTTCAAAACTTGGGGTAAAAAAATAATGTCATTTTAGAGCTGGGCATAGTAGCATACACCTGTAATTGCAGCATTTAGGAGGCTAAGGTAGAAAGATCACAAGTTGCAGGCTAACCTGAACTACATAGCAAAATCCTGTCTCTAGTGAAAATGTGAATGCTAGAGGGAGCAGTTAAGAGAGCTGGCTGCTCTTACAGATGACCTGGGGTTCAGTTCCTACCAGCCACAGGGCAGCAGCTCACAACTGTCTGTAGCTCCAGTACAAGGAATCTGACACCCTTTTCTGAACTCCACAGGGACCAGGCATGCACATACATACATGCATGCAGACAGAACACCCACACACAATAAATAAATAAATAAATAAATAAATAAATAAATAAATAAATAAATAGAATTAATTTTTAAAAATAAGTACATTATTTTAAAAGAAAAGAAACACTATTGGTGACTGAAGAGAAGAGTCAGCTTTTAAGAGCAATTTCTGCTCTTCCAGGAAACCTGAGTTCAGTTCCCATCCCTCACATCATGTGCCTCACAACTGCTTATAACTCCAGCTCCATGAGATCTGAAGCCCTCTTCTGAATTCAGGTTCACATGCACAGATACACTCAAACACATAATGAAGACTAATTGGAAAGAAGAAACACTACTGCCGCTTACTGTTTCTCATCAATTGGAAGACTGTTCTTTAGCCCTTTTCCTAGTTGTACACTACTAATTTATGTTGTTCTGGATATGATTAGCCTTGCTTTTATTTCATATATGTTTAGAGATACTTGTCTTTTCAGAAAAACATAGCTGTTTTTCAAATAGAGGTAACACCTAGCAAGACTGTTTACTGTCCAAACTATTATCTTCATGTTTTCTTCTGTAAGCAAACATTTCAGAACTCCCAGTGAGAAAGAACAACTCACTGTTTGTGTGCTCAGTCTTTGATTGAAAAAATCAGAGGATGGGGAGGGTGTATGCACATACACCTGGAGACTGGGGATAAATGTCAGATGTCCTCCTCAGTATTTCTCCAGCTATTCTTATTTTCATTTATGTCTGTGTATATATGTATGTGCCTATATGCCAGTGCTCCCAGATAAGAAGAGTGTCATATTGCCTTGTGCTAGAGTTACAGGCAGTTGTGACCCACCAGATATAGTGCTGGGGACCAAAGTCAGGTCCTGAAAGAACAACTGAATGTTCTTAACCTCTGGCTCATCTCTTCAGTCCTTCTCCACCTTCTATATATTTTATGTTGTGTGTGTGTGTGTGTGTGTGTGTGTGTGAGAGAGAGAGAGAGAGAGAGAGAGAGAGATGTCTGCATGTAGACACACACACAGCACATATGTGGAGGTTAGAAAACAACTTAACAACTTGCAGGAGTTAGTTCTCTTTCTCCAACATGGGTTCCTGAGAAAAAAAAAATTCAGGTCATTAGGTTTGATGGCAAGGTCCTTGACTGCTGACCCATATCACCAGTCCTTCTCCACCTTATTTTTTGAGACAGGATCTCTCGCTGAACTAGACTCACCAACTTAGCTAGACTGCCTGGCCAGAAGCCCTCTGGGCTTCTCCTGATTTCCTCTCCCCCCCCCCCCCAAAAAAAAAATAAAATAAAAAAAAAAAAATATATATATATATAGTGTGTGTGTGTGTGTGTGTGTAAAAAAAAGCTGGAGAGGTGATGGCTCAGCGGGTAGTTTAGAGTATAACCATCTGTAACTTCAGTTTCACATTTAACATTTTCCTTTTTTTTTTTTTTTTTGAGGCAGTATGTCTGGTTGGTCTGAACTCACAGAGAAACACTTGCCTCAGCCTCCTAGTGCTAGGACTAAATGTGTGAGTCACCACACCCAGCTACCCTCTTCTGACCTCTGAAGGTACTAGGCATGCATTTGGTCTACATACACACATGCAGGCAAAACATGCATATATGTAAATAAATAAACTTAAAAATAAAACAGTAAATACAGAGCTATACATGGGTGTAACTACTTAGGGGCTGCCGGATAGCCTATCACCATTGCCTGACTGCCAGAGTTCAATCCCCAGTAACCACATGGTGGACCAAGAGAACCAATTCCTAAATGCAAGATCTCACACATTTGTGTGGTATGCACATTAAAATAAGTTACTTAAAAAACAAAACCTACTTATGGATGGGAAATTAGTACATAGTATAATCTTTCTCAGAACTTTGTCTCATATTCGTAATACACTCACTAGGGAAATCAGTGGAATTTAAGGAAAGTGCTAAATTCAGATTTATACAAACTAATAGAAGCTGTGATATAGTTTGCAGAATATTGAAATTAATGTTATTTTAGTAGGTTTTTATTTTTGTGAAGAAAGAAATTTTGTTCATCTTCATTAGAAATTACTATATCTTTGTAAATAATCAGCTATACTTAAAAGATTTTTCTCAAAAGAGAATGCAGATATTATTGGGCAAATGCCACTTAGACATATACAATATGGTCTTATTTTATGTTCCATTCAGTAACAAAAGCTTGAAGATTTATCTAGAACATTACTTCAGATGACTTCCATTTTAAACATTGGGCTCACTTGCTTATAGTTAGAGATACTGGGTCATATTCTGATTATAAGAGATTGGGTTTGGCAATGTAGTATCATATACATGAGTTCATTTTTCTGTAATTTATGAAAAATAAGCTGTATGTTTCCTTATCTTGAAAAAAATATTAATAAACTCTCCACTTTCCATTTTAAAGCCTCAGCTAATTGGATGTCTTGAACCTGTTTTATTCCAGGGTTGCCATCCATTGACCCATCAGGCAGTTCCCCATCTGCTGCGGCTCCTTTGACAAGTTTCTCTGGCATACCAGGGACAAGGGTTTTCCTGCAAGGGCCAGCACCTGTCGGGACTCCTAGTTTCAACAGACAACATTTTTCTCCCCATCCTTGGACAAGTGCCTCAAACACATGTAGGAATTCTAGAGAAACTTTCCAAAGAATCTTGAATATGTTGTTAAGCGATTTGTTTCAGAGTACACTATGTAGTGGTTTTAGTAAAACAAGCAATATACAGGTACCCCAGGTTTGTATGTGATCAAACCAAAAATGTTTCCATTGGACTTTGGATCAAGAATCCGAAGTAATACACATAGTAGTTTCCTAAAGGTCCCTGTGAGAGCAGTGTTGTGAAATTTCTCAACTCTGAAAAGAAGCTGATTGATTATAGGTGGTCATTCTGGTATTATTTCACACTTATTTTACATTTTATGAATGTATTATTGTCATTTATAGATATACCTTTATTTTCACTCATATCAGTATTTAGAACATGGGAATTATTTGATGTCATATAATATATGATAATTTCCTCCACACCTTGTTCTAGGAATTGAGCTCTGGGCCTTGCACATAAGTAGGCAAATTCTTTAGCAGTAGGCTATAGCTACAGCTTTTGTTTTGTTTAGACTGAACTGGCTCAGACTCACAGAGATCCACCTGCCTCCACCTCCAGAGTACTATGATTAAAGGCATGTACCATCATGCCTGATCTGTATTAGTCTTTGTGACTATGTCCATTGAAGAACCAAAGCTATCACTTGAATTCAAGAATGATTTTAATATTAATGTCTCTTCCTTATGGAAAAATCGGGCTATAAAAATGGGAAAGAATTCCAGACAGTAATTTAAGTACTTTTTAAACACTGCCTCAGTAAATGTAAGATGTAATTAATGTTTTCAGAAGATTATTTAGTATAATAGCAATTCTGTTCTACCTTTGTTTAGTTTCATTTGGAAAAATCTTACAAGTTCTTTATACTTCAGGCAGAAGTAGTCTAAACAATTGTTATAGAAAATATTTTCATTTGAATTATCCTTTCAAATGAACTATTCTTTATGGAATCTGTGTTGTTGGAATAGATCTTTATGAGGCTTCTCATATTTCTTTAGTTTTTATATTTAATAAAACAATAGAGAAATATTTTGCCACCAGGTGACTCTCCTATTCCATCTGTTTCTTCGGGATCATCTTCACCTCTTTCAGCCACTTCTGCACCTCCAACATTGGGCCAACAAACAAAAGGAAACAGTGCCAGTCAGGATCGAAAGATACCTCCTCCTATTGGAACAGAGAGGCTGGCCAGGATTCGGCAAGGAGGATCTGTTGCACAAGCCCCTGTAGGGACCAGTTTTGTTGCTCCTGTTGGACACAGTGGAATCTGGTCATTTGGTGTTAATGCTATGTCAGGTACAATTACCTTACCCTCTACTGAGACATTTTGAATAAGTTTGCCATTAAAACTTAGTTCCTAGGGGTAGGGGAAGAAGGGCTGGGGCGATAACTCAGTGGTTAAGAGCACTTGGTGCTCTTGCAGAGGACCTAGGTTCAGTTCTGAACACACAAATGGCAGCTCCCAATTGCCTGTAACCCTAGTTCCAGAGCATCTGATGCCTCTTCAGATCTCTTGCTCCTAGATGCAAGTGGTACACACACATATACTCAGGCATGCACACATACACATGAAAATTTTTTTCAAAAACTAAATTCCATAAACGTGTATATTGGTACAGGCCTGTAATTCTCGCATTCACAAGTCTTAGGCAGGAGGATCTCCAGTTCCAGATCATCATGAGTTACATAGGGAGTTCAGGTCCCAGTCTGTGCTGTTACACATTTAGGCCTTCTCTCACAAAATAAAAGACTGGTGATACAGCCAAAAGTAGAGCGTTTACCTTGACTACACAGAGCCATGGTTGGCTCTCTAATAGCGTACAGAACCAAAAACTTTAGTTCTTTATGGGCACACAGTACAGCATACTAAAAGCATAAAAGAAGAAAAATCTTTAGTTTCTATACTTAATATTCATTGAGAGAAAGGTATTTAGATCTCTGAAGGATTCATTTCTATCCTATTCTAGAATGTTTTTTTTTTTGGGGGGGGGGGACAGTGATATATAGAATTGATCAGGAGTGAAAGATTAAGGTGGACATGGTGGCTCAGGAGGCAGAGTCAAGAGTTCCAGGCCAACCTGGGCTACCAGAATGGGTTCCTTTCTCATATGGAATATGACTCAACTCAAAGCATAATTCCTTTCTATCTTAAGAGTGCAGAATAGGATAATTATATTTAAATTCTTTCAGATAAGGAATTGGGAGTATGTAGGGACATTCACCTGTTTTTCTAGGAAGTTGTTTGTTTGTTTGATTGGTTATAGCTTGCCAGACTGCGATAAATGTTCTTGGAACTCTTGAGAACAATTATTTTGATAAAATTTGATATAAAGAGATAGTAAAGTGGTAATATTGTATTGTTTTACCTAGATAAATTAACACTATTCTCAATTCTCTTTTCTAGAGGGCTTGTCAGGTTGGTCACAGTCTGTTATAGGGAGCCATCCAGTGCATCAACAGTTGTCAGACCCAAGCACATTTTCCCAGCATCAGCCAGTGGAGAGAGATGATTCTGGAATGGTAGCTCCCTCTAACATTTTTCACCAGCCAATGGTAAGTACCTTTGTGGAGTTTTCTACAGTGAGTTGGCCTGCGTCCTTGTTACTTTTATTCATTGCCAGCCACTGTAATCAGTTGTTAAGAAGTTTGTGTGAAAATCACCCTTTTGCTTCTATGACCGCCAGGTCTTTTGTTCAGTTTTAAGATGGTACTGTTGTCTTGCAGTACTTTTCCCTTGATTATCCTGAAGATGCCCCGATTCTTCTAAAAGACCTGAGAGATTTGAGTTTTGCTTCACTTTCTATGCTACACATTTGAGGGAGGCCTCTACTCTCTAAAGAACAGGCTATTGAATTTGGTGTTTTTTTTGTGCTCTCTGGTTTCCTGGCTGCCTAATAGCCAAATTGTAGGTGTAAACACTCATATAGAATTACTCTTTTTTTTTTTTTTTTTTTTTTTTTTTTTTTTTGCTGCTTTAGGGCCTGCCGATCTCCATGTATGGAGGCACCATTATCCCCTCTCACCCTCAGCTTGCTGATGTGTCAGGTGGCCCACTGTTCAATGGACTTCATAACCCAGATCCTGCCTGGAACCCTATGATAAAAGTTATCCAGAATTCAACTGAATGCACTGATGCCCAGCAGGTAAAACGGGCTTAAAGCTCTTCCACGTTTCAGATTTGTCATGTGACTCTTTGAATTTGCTGGGAAATGTAACGTCTAAATAATGACTGTTAATCTGAATTAAGTTTTCATTATCAAGATGATGGTACTAAACATTCTGTTTCTTGTATGTGTATTCTTCCTAGGCAGAAACACTGCATTGCCATTGAATTTATATATTCATTTCACAAATGTGTAAAGATTCCTAATTAGAAATTCCAATTTTTCCTCCCCCTTTTCAGATTTGGCCTGGCACGTGGGCACCTCATATTGGAAACATGCATCTCAAATATGTCAACTAAGTTAGAAGGTCTTTCCTCTTTAGCCTTGTTTGGGAAATCTATGACTATGGAAGAACTCTGGGGTTTTTTTATTTTGTTCTTGTTTTTTTAATGTGCCTAACTAAAATATTCTCTGAGGCTTTAGCAATGGAAATTTGATTGCCCATTGTTTAAGAACAAATTGCTTTCCTATCCACCTGAGTATGTTCTCTGGTTAGTTTAGCCATTTTTGACTCAAGATCAGATGAACCTAGTGCTTTTGGCTAAACATCTTGAATGCTACTTGTATGCAGAAGAGAATTAGATGATTACATGTTTCAACTTTTTAGAATGATAAATACATGTATAATTGTTTACATACTTAAAAGGAAAAATATGAGTAAATTTCTTGTCATATAGTGGCTCTACTTAATGTAGCCTGTATTAATGTGAAATATTTACCAGAATATTCAATAAAAAAAAAGAAATGAACAGTGTTTAGAAGTGGGGTGTGATCCTTTCAGTGGTCATAAAGATGCCAGCCAAACCACACTCATATTGAATTAAATTGCTTAATGCTGTATTTATTTGTAACTTGTTTTTTACATTTAACACTGTAGTGTCTATTCTTGGACAGCCATAAAAGCACTGCTAATGCTTGTTAGCTGTTTCTTGTTTTCCTGTCTCTCCCCTTATTAAATATGAGGACTTTAAGGCCTGTAAGTTTTTCTTAGCTGATGTTAGCAAACAGGCCATTTGGTTAGGTTTTGCTCTTAATGGATCATAACTGTGTCAGTAAGAACCTTAGGCTTTACTCACATTGAAAAGATTTAGGGATACCCAAATCATTCACTTTGTGTTCCTATTGTGCTTCTTGGCATTTGAGTTGAACATAAGAAGTGGGGGAAGGGATGACTTCTGTTAACAAGTTATGGTGAATCACTGAGTTTTTATGTGTGTGTGTGAGAGAGAGAGAGAGAGAGAGAGAGAGAGAGAGAGAGTGTGTGTGTGTGTGTGTGTGTGTGTGTGTGTGTGTGTGTGTGTGTG